ATAATAAAAATGGAGTCGTGTGTAAAATGTCGTCATTTTACTTGAGGACACAAATTATAGAATTATTAATAAATATTAATCTGAAAATTAAATACAAATGATCCTAGGTGTCCGTTCTAGTGAGTGAAGTAGTTTGGTTATTGTGCCTGACCTAGTTCCGTCGTAAATGCAATATATTGACAGACAGTATGGTTAAAATTGAGGTACTTTGGCATTTATTTAAATTATTCTTCTGTTCTCATGAGCATTGAAATTTATCTCACTCACTAGCGGGAACCATTGCGAATACATTGATATATAATAATATTCAATTATGTTAGTTTCTTCTATGATTTGTGTCCTCATCTGAAGCTCTGTTACACGGTAAAAATATACATACTAAATCGCCCCCTTAAGTCCTCCAGTGATATGACCTGCACGTTCTTTTGATATTCTCAGATGGTTCGCAATATGCGTGATTTGACGATCACTTCGAATCAAATCGTCCACTTTCTTGCGATTAATTTCGTCAGTTACAGAAATCGGTCGTTCGCTGCGAGCTTCGTCCTCAATATTCGTGTTACCGGGTTCACATTCGCAAAATTTTATCACTGATTCACCGTACTTCCATCAACAGTATCACCACCATAAACCGATTTTAAACGGCGAAATATATCGTAAGTATTCAAGTTTTCAGAGGTTAAAAATTCGATTCCGTGAAAACAGGTACTGAATGGAATCCTTTTAACGAAACTTGTGCGTGTACTGGTAGAGGGGGGATGTAGGTCTGTTATGCCACCGCGCGTAGCGCTGTAGATTGTTTTGATATTATTGTATGGTCGTGTGTGCATTACTATTTCAGCCATCCTTCGTATATTATGTTATAAATGGCAATAAATTACGAATTGTTTTAAAAATATTTATTGTGAGGATATTGCTTTACAGTGGATTACTTAATTATTTAATTTTTTTCTTTATTTTCCATCTGTCCTTCACCGCTGCCAAACTGCTCATCAATTTTGTTATTATCGTATTCATAGTCATCCATTACTTTATTACCGGCTTCTTCATTTTCCTCCTGTCCTTCACCACTGCCGCTGGACTCATTAAAGCTAGAAATATACTCAGGGTCATCCATGTCTTTATTACTGATTTCTTCATTTTGTAATTTGGCCTTTATCAAACTATCGGCTGTAATTTCATCGATAATGGTTTCACCTTTTCCACTTCCATTATCTTCTGCACTTGAAACTACTTTCTGAATAATTATCAGTTCACTTACATCTTCGGGGTTCAAATTACCTTTGTTTTGCAGTTTATCCATTTTCTCAATTTCTAAAAGAATAAAACATTGCAATGAACATCCTTAACTTGATAATAACAACTAAAATAAAACTAAAACTTGTTCTTTGTCACTTGGACTGGATGTGTTAGAAGCAGAAGATTTGTTACAAGTTTTTGTACGTACCTTTTGGTAAATATTACACAAAAGTCCACAGAAACACATCGAGAACAATATTAAAATCATACACACAAAGTATCTGTTACTGTCTTGTGTTTAAGTTAAGTTTAAGTCGTTTCGAGCGATTTTAAAGGGGAAACAACAGAAATGTTGATATATTTGTAATATGTACAGGGTGTGTTAAAAGGTCTTTACAACGCTCCACCAGATACAGTGCGGATCAAAATAAGGTCGATTTAGCTAAACTTACCTTAGTTCAAAGTAGCTCCGTTAAAACGGTATACGCCTTGAAGTTGCAATTTTGAAATCCTTTAAAATAAATAAATTTAAAACGCCTTATGAGATTTTGTTAAAATTTAGTAAGTTAACACCGCTTTATAGGACAATAAATCCCACATCAAAATTGCGAGTAATATTAATCAATTGGCGTAGAACTTGTTTCTTTTTTAGTAATTACACCTTCCATAATTCTACGCAAATGGAAGAAAAAAATGTTAAGTATAAAATTTAATTAAGTAAATTATTTACTACAGAAAGATCTTGATAAGACTCGATTACTCTCATGGTTTATTCGAAATTTGTAATTTAATTATTGGCAGCAATTTTGACACAAAAATTAAATTAGGAAATCATGAATGCAAATAAATAAAGATGTCATAGTAACTGTTCAAAGCGGCCACCATTTACACGCATACAAAGATTTACACGACGAAGAAAATTGAAATGGACTCTTTCCAAAATTTTCTTCGCCGCCTTTAAGAATATTTGTTGCATCTTGAAGACGTTGCCATAGTTGCTCTTCATTTTCTATACCATGTCGTGTAAGCCACGGACTGAAGATAACCTCATAAAAATAATCCAATGGATTTAAGTCGGGAGAACGTGGTGGCCAATTTACAGGAGCGTCATTACCTCTATCCATCCATTTGTTTGGGTACTGTTGATTTAAGTTGTTACGAACAGGTAATAAAAAATGTGGTGGAGCCCCATCATGCATAAACCACATATATCTCCGAAGTTGTAGTGGTGTTTCCACTAACAAGTCTGTCAACGTACTCTGTAGATGTTCCAAATACATTTCTCCCGTTAATCTTTGTGATAAAATGACAGGACCAACAATAAAATTTCCAATTATTAATGCCCACACATTTATTTTAAATTCATGTTGAGAATGTCTAACTTTCACTGTGTGTGGAATTTCGAAATTAGTTAAGTACCCCTCTTCTTGTGAAACATGCTTCATCGATAAACAAAATATTGTTCTCAAAGTGGAAATCCATTTCTCTTTGCCTATTAACAAATCGACAAAAACCCAGGTGTCTTTCAGGATCATGGGGTAAGAGGTCTTGAATTGGTTGCTTATGGTAAAGATGTAGCAACTGTTTTCTAAGTACTCGATGACCAAACAATATTTTTAGATACTCCTATTTCTCTACTTAATCGTCTCGTACTTTGTTCCGCGTTTTCTTCAACACGTTCCAAGATGTCTTCCATAATCCACGGTTTCAGGGGCAAAGCGACCAGTTTCATGATCCAAAAACTAATAACATATTGATGTTGGTGCATTGGTGTATTGTACAACCATGATAATTAAGTTTAATTCAAATTATTAAGTAAATGAGAAACTTTTAAATCTCAGTAACAATTATTTAGGTGTCTTAAATGTCACAAGAAACTATGACAACCAAGAATCAAAATTTTTATGTGTAAAGGCAAGTACCTGGAAACTTATGAAAAAACTGTATACTAAAAAAAAGCTAATACAAAAAAACTATATGGAATACTCCGAAATGAATAAACGTGTTTATTAAAAAGTCTCATTTTTATTTAAACAACATCAGGAACAATTGTAAATAATCTTTTCCTAATTTAATTTTTTTGTCAAAATTGCTGCCAATGATTAAAATTACAAATTACGAATAAACCATGAGAGTAATCGAGTCTTATCAAAACTACCTTTTTTGTAGTAAATAATTTAGTTAAATTAACTTGTATGCTTAAAATTATTTTCTTCCATTGGCGTAGAATTATGGAAGGTGTAATTATTAAAAAACTCAAGTTCTACGCCAATGGATTGATATTACTCATAATTTTGATATGGGGTTTATTGTCCTATAGAGCGGTGTCAACTGATTAAATTTTAGCAAAATCGCATAAGGCGTTTTAAATTTATATAAAAGAAAACGATTTCAAAATTGCAACTTCAGGGCCGTATACCGCCGAAACGGAACGAGATTGAACTAAGGTAAGTTTAGCTAAATCAACTTAGTTAAACCGCACTGTATCTGGTGGAGCGTTGACCTTTTAGGGACACCCAGTATATCAGATCTGAAAGGGTTAGATAATAACCAGAGAGCGGACAATTTGTGACTTTAACCTTGAACATAGATATGTCATTCATAAACCTAGATACATTACCCATGACGCAGTGGCGTGTCGGGTATGCATCGGATTACGAGGTCTCGCAAAGGGGCGAAAAATTAGGCTTTTTTTCGGTCGGTCTTTACGTGATAATTCACGAAAATTCCACGGTACATACATTTTTAGGCGTTATAAAATATTTAGAAAATCAGAAATTGTATACTANGCCTTCATTATAGCCATCCTTGTCTATCACATGGAGTTCTATGGCTTACTTTATCGCTCTCACGTAACTTCTGATAGACCATGGGTACTTTCCTACACTGTAGAATACAAACATGCGATAAAAAAAAATTAAAATGCATATTTAGGCTGAGAAAATATTTTGAAATCATTAATTAAACTCTTTTTCGGACCGGTCCTGACCCACAAAGGTTTATCGAGAGTGAATCTTGACCCACTGTATTATTCGGTCAGTAACCTAGTTTTTATTGCGTTTTTACTGCGAAGTGAACGAACAGATCTGTTTACCTAGAATGAATAAGTTATTTTTATGTTAGGTTATTACAATGTAGTATTTTTAATATTGTTTATATGTTCTATTATTACATGAGTTTTTAGTATTATGTTTAATTAATTATTTAGTTTGCAGTGCGTATACCTAGTGACATATTATACTTTACAAAGAGTAGTACACTGTAATAAAAAGTATGGTAAAATTCATTGAACGGTAACCTGTTGCCATAGGATGTTCAGGTAAAATTCATGTAACATTTATGTATTATTAATTAAAACCTGTAAAATATATATTGATTTATACATGAATTTTACTAACAACCTATTTAAATTTCAACTACTTTTTATATTTTCAGGTAAGTAACGATATTTCAAATGAGGGGGGTCAATTTCTTAAGGCAGTATTGGCTCATCTACAGCATCTACACATATCACAATATAAGCTCATTCATTAATAATGTCACGAAATGAACAATTATTCATTTAAAATAATAGTAACATAAAATAAATAATATTTATTTGGATTCAAGTTTATTGATATTTGGACAACCGATCGTCTATGAAATCATAGTAGAAAGATACATTGGTCGCCAAGAAGTTCTGTGTGCTAGAATTAGGGTTGACACTGACAACACCGTGTACGTAATATCGTTCATCTTCAGGATCTTTGATGACGAAACCTGTGCCAGGGTCAGTGCGAGCTGCATTGTGAAATACACCGCAAATTGTGTCCAACTGATGAACCGGAGTGACTGCTTGAGCACAAGTATCTTGCAATTGGTACGTCCCTGCTACAATTTTGTGAAAATAAAAGCAGACAGTTGTTTTCTGCACATCCCATCCCCATATCTGAAAACAAAGGGAAGTATTATTTTTCGTATATCAAAAGCATATATTGAGGAACCTTACAACTCCTTCATCTCCAGGTTGCAATTGGATACTGTTTACATCCTTGAAGCATACGGGTTGTACAAAGTTATTAAAAGTGAAGGTTTTCGTTGCCACCAATATAGCGAAATCGGCCAAATACTTCTTGTCTCGTCCGTAATGGTCATGAACTTGAATATCCGAAATCTAGAATAAATTTGCAACCTGAAATTTTATAGACATTCACTGATAAAGCCAAATAGGTCAATCAGCAAATACAAGTACAGTCCGTATAATATTTGTTGAGATATAATTCCAAGAACACATTCGAAGAAACACGCCACCTCGGGGGTGGAATGCGGTTAATTTCAAGAAACGCAAGGGTTTTTTTGAAATTCTGTCTCAACAAATATCGTACGAAATGTATCTTTCAAAGGTTTTCCACTTGATGAGACTGCTAAATGTAAATAGTTACCTCTGAATATTGAGCGCCAGTATCTTTGAAATTATAAATGGGGCTCTTTTTCCCAGCTGCTATCACAAAATTTTCTATTGGCAGTACGGTATATCGACTTTTATCTGTTACACAATATGCTGCTAAAATAATTGAAATCAAAATACATTAACAACTTCATTTTCACAATATAGACTAACTAAAGGCAGAAGCACATTGTCGTAATGTCACCTGAGCTTATATGTCTTAGGACAGATGTGGCTCATGATTTTGTACACATTATTTGATCGCATAAGAAGATGATTTTATATAAATCAGCGTCACATGTTTCTAATACTATCTGCGGATAATTTCTCCACATAAAATCATAAGCTCATTTTTTATAGTATTTTTTTAATATTTTAGTGTCAGGCTGTATCAACTGTACAAATATGTAAAATGTTGCGTGAGTTGGTATACTTACCAGTTAAAACAAGTTTATGCGAAATTAGTGACCCTCCACAAATATACATATAGCTCCCTTTCTTGTAAACTCCTACATTCCAAGGGTATTCCAAGCCTTGATCATTAGAAATGTTAACTCGTTTACCACAATCTAAAGAAAACACTTATTTCAATACTTATAACACATTGCTTAATTTCCTATGTTAAATAAAGTCAAAGTTTAAGTTAATATTAGGTAGAAAAAAAATTGATTGTGAAATTTCAAAATTGTTTGAACTGTTATGTTGAAATGAATAGTGACAATTTTGTATACATTCTGTAAGCTTCATTTAAGACACGACACACAAAATGTTACGTATTTTAGCAAGTAGGATATAATGTTAAAATTATACAAGGTGTCCCAGAATAACGTGTACAACGGAAGATCACAGATTCGTGGACTCAAAATAGGCAAATTTAGGTTAATTCACCTATATCCAAAATCACTTCGTTTGGCCGCTAGATGGCCTCAAAGTTAGTGAAAATTTTTTGAATTTTGTAAATAACTAGAATACGTATTAATCCATTTTGATTATTTTTTGGGTGTGAACTTTTGCTTTCAGTCTACACATTTTGGTGTTATACAGAGTGTTTTTTAAAACTTAAAAGTACAACTTATTATAAAAACTGTTCAAAATGACCAACATTGTTAAGAAAGGTTAATTCGGCGAAGAAAGTTAAAGTACACCCCTTGTAGGTCTTGAGGGCAATTTTTTAAAACATTTATGGCAATTTGGATATGCCTCCACAACTCTTCTTCGGTGTTAGATGTGGAAGCATACACTGTTCTTTTCAGAATTCCTCAAAGATAATCATGTTAGCTCTGAGTAATAACGGCATACCTTCCAATAACTCGGGTAAAGTGTTTTACAAAAATTGTAAATAAAATTCCCCATTCACTCTATTGGGTAGAATAACAGGGCCAATAATAATAATGCTATAACTGCGTTATATTTGATTGGTTTTTCTAAGTTTTTTAAAAAAATTATTTGCAAATAATTCTAATTCGTCGTATGTGTAAAGTAAAATAAAGTAACACGTGGTGTATTTTATCGTCGTAAACACTCATTAAGAATTGTGAGGTACAATGACTTAAAGATCAAACTGAAATTACAGTCAACTTACGAACTTACTGCCTACTAGCACTTTGTTAAGTATTATAATATGGGTGGCACGATAATGACACTTAAAAAATATTTTTTTGTAACCAAACCGCTCATTTAATCAAAATTCTACAAGAGGCCCAAAAACTTCCAAATGGTATCACTTATCAGATAAAAAAATAGTTGCCATACTTGCCCGAAAGGGGAAAAAATTATGAACGGATATTATCACCATACATCAATTTTGTAGGAGTTGTAGGTTTTAACAAACACTGTATAACACCAAAATGTGTAGATTGATAGTAAAACAAAAAATTTTCACGAATGTTGAAGCCATCTAGCTACCAAACGAAGCGATTTCAGATATAGGTGAATTAGCCTCTACCGTTGTACACGTTATTCTGGGACGCCCTGTATTAAAAATCATGTACTTAAAAATCATCCTGTGTATAATTACGCATGTACGAGGATCGGCTGAAAAGTAATCACACACGACCATAAAGGGGGAACAAGAAGACATATCGAGATGAGACAAATGAAAGTATAATTCTTTAGCTCCAAAATGATGTATTTATTTTTATACATAGTCGCCATTAACACATACATTTCTCCCAACGTGTGACAAGTTTTGTCATTCCGTCAACAAAAAATTTTCAATCTTTTCTTTGATTCAAGCTTTACTGCCTCTTTTATCTCGTCGTCTGAAGCGTAATAGTTAGGTACCCTTCAGTGTTGTTTCAACATTGTGAAAAAGTAGGGGTGGGGGGAGAAGTGGGGCACGAACTTTAACTTGCGCAGCACTTCCTCAGTGGCACCCACCACATGGAACAGATTTTTCTATAGTTAAGGACGGGATTTTGTACAAAAAATATCGCCCAGCGTGAGTCACGAAACGGGATCCCGGCAGGTGCTGCTCTAGCGGCCAACACTTCAAGGTGTGTTTTTTAACCGAACGACGAAATCTAATAATTTACGCTGGACGTAAACGGCTCGATTTTTCAGGAGCGGCTTCAATTTGTGTACATTAATCATTAATAGATTATCGAGGACAATAATATTTTTTTTATTAAGTAGGCAATAATTTTTAGTTAATAAGGTTAAACAATCTTATAATGATCATTCCTTTATTATAAAAGCAGATATAATTTTTAAAATTACATGTAGTTTCTTCTTCAAAAGCTTAAAAAACGTATAACAGGAACAGTCAACAGTCTAATGTTTATATTTTCACGTTAACGATCCGATACATAAATTAACTGCTATTTTCAGTAAAAATAATATAACTTGAATTATTTTTTTACTTTGGTGAGTCGTATTAATTTAAAAACACTGCCTAATTACTAAAATATATAGCTACTTATATATACTTATACTAACTTGCTACTAATTACGTTTGGAGAATAATATGTATAGTAGGGTGGCACAAAAAAAA